GCAGGGAAAGGATTTCAGTTACCGATTAAAACAAAGGGAGAACAACCATAATTTCTTCAAAATTAATAAGAAAATGCAATTTAAAAAATATAACTTCCCTTCCCCTCCCCCCCCCCCCAATGGTCTTTTAAAATTATGCCAGTGACAGCTTAAAGTGTAGAGAGATTCTTGCAGAAAAACTAAATGAATCTTTACCTGGAATGAAGTTCCAAACTGAATTATAATTTCTCAGAAAAAGCTAAATTAAAGTGTGTTTTGCTCTGTTTTGCTTGTAAATGAGTATGTACATATCTCTGCTGTTCCTCATTTCTGCCAGGACCAGAATCATTAGACAAGAAAAGCTGTTGTAGTATTTCACAAAGCCAGGCAATATCCAGAGTCTCTGACAAGAGCTTTTCTCCTGAGATTTCCTGACAACAGGGTTTTAGATAAATGCAGATAAGCCTTGTATAAGTATCTGAACTTTAGAAGGCTTATCTGAACCAAAATATCTCCAAACTTTTGGCATTCAGTCCTTCTAGTTAGTTTTTTTTCTGCGTATGCCTCTCCACAGGAAGGTAGTGGTGGCTGTATTTTGCTGCCCTCCTTACCTCAGGTTCTCAGATGTGATGGGATGAGCTGACAAGTCCTTCCACAGTCAGTGTCACTGTAAGCACATGGAGCATCTGGAACAATGTGGAGAAGAAACTCTTAGACCACCTTCCTCTTCCAATTCCTGGGCAGCATTCCCATAACATTATGCCCAGTAACTCACGTGCATCCCTAAATTTAGCTTCCACTCAGTGTTGGCACAGTAACACACTGGTCTTACCAGGCCTGTTTTCAAGTGCTGCATTGTTAGCATGTTTCTGTTATCTCCCTTCCTCCTGTTGTCCAAGAATTATTTGACATCCCAAGAGAATAACACAAAGACCTTGTCAAAGCTAGTAAAGGCAATTTGTATTGAAATATTTCTTGCCTGGTCTTTGTTGAATTTTACTTGGATTACCACCAAGTCTTGGTATCCTCAGTCCCTCAACACTTATTGAGAAATAATTCCATCTCAGATCTTTCTTTGCTTTAGGGCTATTCTCTTTGGTCCAGTCACTTCTCAAGACAACTTATATGCTGCTTCTTTTCTTTTCCCCCAGGGAAAGATTTTTTACCTGAATTTCCCACTCAGTAGCACATCACTGCTTTAATTTACTCTTCTCATGCTCAATGGTTTCCTCCTTGTACTACAAAACACTCCACTTCTGCATAGAGTCTACAGAAAAAACTTGACTAAATGCAAAGTCCATTGCTGTCTTGCTGACCAATTCTGTTATCTTGTAATCTGACACCTTCATATATCCCGCTTTCATGCTTGTAAAGTCATTGCAGGATTTTGAATGTGAGGTCTTTTTCATCCTCTGTGTAAAGATGTGGTTCAGGACAGTGAACTGTAACCTGGTGAAAAAATAATATTAATTACATTATCAAATCCCAGAAGCAGTAACAATAGATTTTTTTTCAGTAGTCAATTGCACTTGTATTCCATATTGTAATGAATTCTGAATCATCAAAAATGCATACTATGATACCTCTTTATGCAACTGGTCCATGTACATTTGCAGTCCTGCTATTGTTCCTAGATTAAAAAAATAAGTACTTTCAATTAACAGATGAGGTTCATATTTTAGAGTGCAAAAGATCTGCCTAAGTTCCTGTTTAGCTTTTTGCTCTGTCCCTTAATTTAGCTGTGTACATATCTGGAGAAAACCCACTGCATTTTCTGCTTCAGAAATGATATTTTTTTCTGATGTTAAATATACACTTAATATGCAACAATCGAAATGCAAGATACTCACATTGAGAGGAAATAAATTTATTCAAGAAATGGGATTGCTTCCTTAAATCAGAAATAGCTCTTTCCATAATATCCATTTACCAAGTCCATCATTCTCATTTACATAAACGTTTGTCAGTAGTAGCTGTGAGGGACATCAATGGGGCTGGATGCAGCTGAGATGTGAACAGAAGCCCTGTGTCTGTTTTTCTCAGACTTGACCAAGAGTGCATATCTTGCATTTGGCAGCACTAATGGGAAATAGGGGCCACAGTCCTATAACGCCTCTATGTAATGATCCTCTAGAAAATTCATAGTCAGTATAGATGTCTCTAGGCTCCCTGGACACTCGGAATATTGCAATGTGAGAGTTTGATGGAAGAAAATTATGTCAGTGGAATTAATTGGTGATATAACTTAGCAATAAAACCTCTGCAGCCAGGGATGTACAATTCTTTTGCTTTAGGTTATTTGGAGCAAAAGTTCCTGCTACTGCCTGTACATCCTCCATACAAAGCTTCACTTCTCAAAGTTCCATGTCTCAGCTCATGACTCGCAAAACACATATGGCTCTGAAACTTGTTCTGAAACTTGGAGCAGATTTCATGTAGCTTAGCTGAGCCCCAGAAGCATGAAAAATGCTACAAATTCAAAGGCAGAAATGGTCTCTTATTGCTTGTAAGAACCTTGGCCTAACAAATTATTCCTGTGCATCACCTAGCACCAGAAGTATAAGGAATTAAAAAAAGTGATCTAACCGAATGATTGGAGCTTTTAACAACTCCACCAGAACTGAAACACTCAGAAAAAATGGAAGTCACAGACATGCCAGCAGCACTTCAGTCTGTAGTTCTGAAGAGTAAAGGGTAGTGGAAGGAAGACAGAAGGAAGCTTTTTTCTGACAGTAACTGATAGACTTGATATGTTTAACAGTTTTGGTTAAACCAGGCAGAGTAAGCAAACAATTAAAACACATTTGAGAATTTAGAAGAGTTGTACATTGCCTGTGGAAATGAAACACTGAAAAGCCACAGGTGGCACAGGAAAGTATACCTGTGAACAACTTCTGCGTAATCTGAGGCTGAAGAGTCTTCCATTCTGAGGAGGCAACCACAGTCCCTAATACGAGGCTCTGCAACAGCATGTCAAAGAGAGAGAGAGAGAATCCTGGGAACCATAGAGATAGACAATAACAAGAATATTAACATATACACACAGATGAAGCACGAAATGAGCTTGTGGAGGATGACCACTATTCTGATGCTCTCTCTGTGCTTAAGAAACCAAAGCATCATAAAGCATGCTCACAACACAAAGGAATTTGAAGCTTGGAAGTCCAGCACGCTCAGGGTTTCAGCTGGGGAAATTAAGCACACAAAACTCGAGGAAAAACATTCTGTAACACACATGCAGGGATTTTCTGCTTCATATTGTCAAGACAATACCAAGGAAAACACATTGAACAAATATGTTCAAAACAAAAAATCACTGGAACACATCATGATGATGCTTAATGTTAAACACAATTGTCAGAAAATGAACATAGAATCATAGAATCATAGAATGGTTAGGGTTGGAAGGGATCTTAAAGACCATCTAGTTCCAACCCCCCTGCCATGGGCAGGGACACCTTCCACTAGACCAGGTTGCTCAAAGCCTCATCCAGCCTGGCCTTGAACACTTCCAGGGATGGGGCATCCACAGCTTCTCTGGGCAACCTGTTCCAGTGCCTCACCCCCCTCTCTGTGAAGAATTTCTTCCTGACATCTAGAAGTGTGGTTTGGGGACGCTGAATATTGTAACTACATTGACTCCACAATAAACAAAATAAATTTATGAAACCACCACAGACAGTCTGTGGGATTCATGTACTGTACAAACCCAGCAATTTTTCTGTCAAACATACACATATTTTGGCTTGGTTTAGGAAGCATCCTGTGCAGTATTTCAATTAATTTTTTTCATTCCCTGTTTGTATATATTTTTCATGCAGAAGAAAAGCCTGTTATGGTAGCCAGAGAAGTGAAAAGTAAGTTTCTTAATTTTTCCTTTTTTTAATGTTAATTTATGCAAGGGATAATAGCATATTTGCTTCTTGTATATGCTGGCTTCAGAAAATACTCTTACAATTTAAATATTTTTCAAGAAAAGACTCTTGTTAAAGGTTTATGGTCCTGTGTTTTTATTGTTTTGTATGGTAAGAAAATGTGGTTTCTTATCCACATAAATAACAGTAAAATATCCCAAAAAGAAAACTGTAGTTCCACTAACTACATCATCACCCAAAGCCATACAGGACAAACTGAAAGTAACAGATTTGGCTTTTTGTGGACAAGCAGTCAAAAAAAGCACTTAGATTATCTATTCTTGTACTTATATATTCTTCCCCATCAAAATGGTGATTAATTTCCCAGAGGAAAAATAAGAATTATAGATTCCTCATTTCTGCTACTGAACTCTCCATTTTCTAATTAATAACATTCAAGGAATAAGTAATTAAATTGTTTTAGCTTTTGCAAAAAAAGCCAAAACTTTATCCTTATTTCTACTGTTATCCAATTAATTGACAAAATAGAGTCGGATGCTTTTTAAAGAACGAGTCATGTTCTTATGTAGATGATGCTTTAACTGCATTCTCCATGAATAACAGAAGTCCTGTAATGACAGTTTCAAAGGTTCAATTCATAAAAAGGGTTATAAAGATATATTATATATGCAGGCCTTTCATGGTGTTCTGCACTTATTCCCAAGTACCACTTGCAAGTCTTGCTGTCATTCAGTCAGATTTTCTAAAAGAAGCAGAACAGGTGCATGGCTTCTGAATCATTACAATAAACTCTTAGTTACACCAGGTTAAGGGGCATAATTTCATGAATTAGCACTTAAGTAATTATCTGGTATACATACTGGTTCCTGTTCTATCCTTAGCTGCACATCTACTCTCTGAGTATTAAGCTGTGTGTCTGACCTACTGATAATAAACTTTTAAGTGACCAGCTTATAAAATCTATACCCTGTTACAGTTAGGCAAGGTTTCCCACACCTTAGGAATAACTATATGTATATGTCTATATGTAAAAATAGTAAGATGAACTTCTATTCCCTTTTTAGAGAAAAAAGAGGAAAAGAAAAAAACTGATGTAAAGAGAGCTACAACTGAAACTAAGAAGAAAGGTATGGTTTGGGAATCTTTCTAATTGGCCCCATTCAGCTTTTACTCCCACTCTGACTCAAATCCTTTTTTTTTGTTTTTGTTTTTTGTTTTGTTAGGCTAATCCTACAATTCTATCTCTGTATTGTCCTTCTCTTTGTTGCTTAGTCACTATCTGTATGTTATTACTTTTTCAGTACCTCATGCCTGATATGTTCAGTGTCCAATATTTTCTAGACTCTTTCTGACAAATGAAAGTCCTGTTTGGTGGCCATCTATGGGCTTGTTAAACAATTTAATGTAGTCTCTCTATATGTAGCAGGACATAATGATACTGCCATATACAAAACTCATGGGAGATATCACTCGGCTCATGGTATGTCACTTTCTGAAGATGGGTGGATGTTTTTATTTTTTTTTTCTTTTTTTGATAGAATCACAACCAAAACTTGCCAAGACCAAATTGCAAAGCCTTGATATCCATCTAAATAACTTTTTGAATCATTCATTCCCAAGAAACATCTGAAATCCACTAAGGTCTTACTTTCATGGGAAAATATTTATGTCATTCATTATTTATTAATGATCTCATTGCTACTGGAGCTTAAGCTAAAAGGTACCATATTCATGCCCTGATGATTTTCGCCTAGCCTTTGATGAATTATTAAGGGTCAAATCATCCATAGTAGATGCATACTGATTAATTTTCATTTTCAGCTGATTGCTCTGTGGCTACTTGGGTGCAAATGTTATAAGGGAATAATCTGAACTAAACTCCCAAATAAGTCACATTTTTTTCATCATGTGCCCACCAGGACTTTGCTGACTGCATATTTGAGTGTATGATTCAGAGTTCTAGCATATCAAATTATTTTCTTTAATTAAATCTTAGAAAAAGAAGGGAAAAAAGAGAAAGCTCATGAGAAGACAGCTGTCCCTGCAATTAAAAAAGCAGGTAAGAAATCGAGGTCTGTCTTTCTCTGTAGTAGATATCTGACTATTTAGTGTAACCACTTTCAATTTTCAAGCATTTGAAATAGGGATGCATGTAATTCATTATCACTTAAGAATCCAAGCTGGAGGTATAGATATACATATATGTATATGTCACAGGGTATTTATACATATCTCTACTATGTATCCATTATACTAATATAAATAGCATTTTATGCATATTCTATATATGTAATATATATGTGTACATATAATACATGTAATTTTCAATTCCGTGAGCATGGGATTTTTACAAAAACATCATAAACAATGCTATATCTTATACAATATATCAATCAAAAGCCTAAGTAATTTTAAAGGGTGCATGGCATGGAAAGACTGAATGGACTGGATAGATTTTTGCATTAATTATTTCACAAACTCAGCTCATTTAAATTAATAAATAGAAACATCAGCATATCAAACCACTTAATGTGGTAGAAAATGGAAATTTATCTTTCTGAGGCTTTATCCATACTCAGAATATATTTTTTTTTAAAAGTCAAAATAAGGTAAATGCATGTCCTGAACCTAATCCATTGTGTTTCATGATATTTTGCCTTCCCAGCAATATTAGAAATTAATGTTTGGGACTTGTCTACACTAAAATTGTTCTAACTTTTCCTTCCCATTATTTCAGTAAATTTGCAAGTGTGTTTAATGCCCAAAGGTAAACATATGTCCAGCAAGTGACTCAGTCTGAAACTGTTTCATTAAAATCAGTCCTCATTAAATTCAAGGAGAAGCAAAACACTCAGTCAAGTGGATTGGTCATCATCTTAATACTTAGAAATACTAGATCTAGTTGCTGCTTTGTCAGACACTTTCTATATAACCTTCTACAAGTTATCAAGTACTCAGATGAATCTTTCTGTAGGATAGAGTAATGCAGAAGGTTTAAAATAAGATTGAAAGATTCATGGCTATAGTTACCATGTCCTCAAGGCAAGCCTTCTGCTCTGTTATCTAATTATTCAAATCTGTTGAATTTTATCAAAAGCTGAAATTATATATATCCCATTGTTTACTAACATTGTGGATAACATATGCAAATTTCAACATGCAACTGGCTTCTTTGCCATGAGTCGTACATGGTCTACATGAGTTTTCCTGTTCAAGTGTTTATGGATTGGAATAAAAAGTTAATTTATGTTTGGTACAATATAAAAATACACAGAACGACACAATACCTTGGAATACTGTTTCAGTCACCCCATATTTAAATGTGCTTCAATGTCTTATAGTAGGGAGTGGCACACTAGGGAAGTGATGAGGATGAAAGAGAATACTCTTCTTCAAGTTTCATATTTAAATGTATAAACACAGATTTAAAAGAAAATAAGCTGACAATTCAAATATCTTTTCTAATTTTATTCTGGTTCTAAGCTTGTATTTCATTTGAGAATACAGAATTGTAAAAGATTACATTTTGTGGCAGAGCTGCAGCATAAAGTTATTAATATGTTCATCTTCACAAGCTGTTGCTAAATCCAGTGAGTCATCCTACCAGTGCTAGAAAGACACAAATTAGACAAACTGAGACATCCTCACATTTCTGTCCCTTTTATTAGCTCCATAGGTTGCTGTGTTTTGAAGAGTTTACTAGTCTTTGTGTAAGAGGGTGGTAATCCATAATATATTCTAGCTACACATGTTGCAGTTATTCCTCATTCAGCTTGCTCTTTGAATGCATGTGTACTTTCTAGCTTTGATTGGCAGCACCTATTGTTATCCCTACAAGATTTTAAGCCTGAAATAATTGCCACATTTGATCAACAGAACAGTAGTTCATAGCCCAGTTTTGAAAGGAGGCACCTCAATGTCTGACAGTATTTACATGCTTTGGGCAGACAGAGCAAATGAACCTCAGAGCACTTGAATCAGCAGTGTAGATAAGCATCCAAAGAGCAAGACTGTAGGAAGAGCTTCCAATTTTCTTACCTTTTCTCATTAAATGGCTTGGCAGGGACCACCGCAATAAAAATAAACTCCTCACCCTGTTTTTCAAATTAGCCCATTATCTCTGGACAACCCTGATTTGTGTCTAATTTTGCTTCCCCCAATCTTTGCAATCCCTGATGCCAAGGGGCCTGCAGGACATGCTGCACCCCTCACCCCACCAGTGCCCATCCCCATGCCAGCAGACAGCTCCTGCGGCCGCCTGGCATCCCGCTCCCACCTCTGCTCCTCACCCTTGCATACCTTCTCCCAGAATACTCACCTCTGACAGGAGACCCGTTAACTAGGCTCTCCCCACAGAGGAATGATGTGTACAGGCTCTCAGACGCAAGAGAGTGAGCGAGGAAGAGATGCCCTGTAAGCCCTACGTGATAAAAACATCTCTAAAATCATGCTCTGAGAGCAGTACTTCCCTCTATTCCCCTCCGTCCCTCTTCCTCTGACAAGAAATGCTTGTGATTGCAAATGCCGAATATTTTTGCTGATTAATATTTTAGATTGCCCCTTTTGTTCAGGAGACAATTTTATCTTTAGTGTTACCAGAACTGAGTTTTTATTGCTCTCCATTAACTGCATCCCTGTGAGGTATTTGTTTGCATGCCAGCTCACTCTTCCTCCTTTACTCTTTTCCTCCCTTCCTCTCTCTCATCCTCTTTATTTCTGCTACTGCAAGTCATCTAATGTGAAATGTTCTCAGTCTTTGATACGGAGTGAATTAAATGATTCTTAATTAGCTTTTAAAAATGCATTGTAGATAAAACCACATTAATCCTCTGACCTTCAGCTCGAACAAAAACATTGTGTTAATTGTCCTGAAAAATAGATAATTCCATTGTTATAAACTCAGAGGTCTTGCTTAAACAAACATAATTGTCAGACACAAGGGTCTGGCACAGTCACACTTCAAAACACTTTACAAAAGTCTGTCCAGCACTATTCTGGATGAAGGAGCTGCATCTCCATATCCTCATGAAGGGGATTGCTGAGCCTCAGCAGAAACAAGTCTTTGTCAGGATCTCCCACAGCTCCTGGTGGTTGGGAGTCATTGGCTCAGAGGAGTCCAGCCCACAATCTGACTGAGAAAGGGAATCCTCTCTGTTGAAGTTTTGGTGCCCAGCCCTACATGAAAATGAGTAAGTGGAGATTGGTGTTTTCAGGTACGCATAGTGTGCTTGCAGAGTGTTTCCTGATGGTCCCTTTGTCAGTCTCAACAGTATGGAGCTTCTCTGCTCCTTCCTGTGTCAGCTTTCCCAAAAATTCATTATATTTACATGCAGCCTTTGTCTTTAATTTTGATTGCTGCAAACTCCTTTCCCACTTTGTTTTGGTTCTCACAACAAATAACATAGGTAATAAATGAGCTTATGAAGCACTGAAAATGTCAGCCTGGATCACCACACCATTTCCTAACTAAAGCTCTGCTCAGCTGTCATTGATGATCTTGCCTTCCTGTTATTGCTGCATAATTTGAAATAATAACGGTAATAAAAACACCGAGGTCTTCTGCAGCATTTTTTGATAGCAAATCTTAGAACCACTTTACAAGGGTAGTCAGTGCCTTTTCCCCCACTTTCCACAGGGGAAAATCAGGTATAGACATGTCACTGAGGCCAGTTGTCCATCAGACTTAGACTCCGTATCTTCTGAATGCCAAACCAATGCTAGTTGGATTAAAGATCCAAACTTTCATAAGCTTTCATTATTTCCCTAATGAAAAACCAAGGGCACCAACCAATGCAACTGATGTTTAGGAAGAAAATTAATTTGCTTAAAAACATAAGGCCTGATCTGCTAGACAAGTGTTCAAGAATCCCTAGGCTCTGATCCTCCATAACAAATATTTTACAGGTGTCAAACCCGGGTACCTCCCTGAGTAGTTCTGTTTAGGAGAAATAAAATGAGTCAAGTTCTTGGTATGCAGATCCACTCACCCCAGATCAGGGAGCATGATCTGACTTGTGGTTTATTGTGTTGGTACCTGCGTGCTCCCAACAGAGCATCCAAGCCCTTACTAAGGAGCATTTCAACCCCTGTCTGAATCAGGGAGGTAGGTGGTTGCACAGCCAGTGCTGTGGATGCATCGATGACGCATGATACGGTTTCATATGTTTCACACCAGGCAGTGTTAGCAGAGGCGAGGAGTGGTGATGTCTCTCTAGCTACCAGATTAAATCTTTGCCTTCTGATCAGGAAAAGTCTCTCGGGGTTTAAAGTTACAGACACTGAGGTACACTTTAATGATGTCACTGTCAAAATCAAGCGAACTTTCTGTGCAGTCACGAAAAAATAAAGGTGATGTCAGATGTAAAAACTGAAAACATTACCTTATGACTGCCATAGAACCAGGTTAACCAGGTTACTCCTGCTAACCTGTCACCCAGTGAGACCATGTACCTGGGGGAGAGTTCATGTTCAATCACCCGTAGGAGGGCGGATGTTATAGTACTAGGTAGGCAGGGTAGAGGGGAGGTGATCAAGCAAAGAGAACCCTCCCGATCACAGGGATTTTTTGCATAGGTTGACCACAGATGCATTTTCATCAATCGTACTTCCTTTGTTTTAAAGGCCAGTCTTTTCAACTTCCCAAAAAACAATGATTTAATAGGAAAAGGGGGGGTGTGGGGGTTGGGGTGGGTGGAATTATACGCCAACAATGTGTTCTTTGTTATTGTGTTCTATACAGACAGTAAAACAAAATCCTGTGTTTTAAAACAGTAAAACAATCATTTTTAAACTCCTGGTCTGAACAACAACAAAAAATCCATTTAATTTTGTGCCTTGCTTGGCTTAACGTTACCCTTGCAGTCTTTATATGCAGCCTGCTTTTACGATATGAGAATAACTAGTGACACCTGGTGGCCAATTATCGTTTCTTTCATGCTATGTGCCCTGGGTTTTTTGTTTGCTTTCAAATGCGGCTATTTAAAGAGTTTGCTGATGAAATTATGTACTATTACTTATTTCCTTATCCTATTGCTTTCATGGCTAGAAAGATGTTAGAAT